TTAAGAGGAAGATGGAGAATCTGTGGAGGCCGCCCAAGAATGTTCTGAGCCATAGCCCTTTCTGCCTCCGGCGGGCACTGCTTCCCGCCACTTGGCCCCAGGGACTCGCCAGTAGTTCGCAGGTGACGCTCAGGGCCTGGGGCTGGGCGAGGAGGGGGTGTGGCGGCGCCCTCTTCTCCCTTTCAGCCCCTTGCCCAGTGCCAAGGCAGACGCTACCAAGCAGTGGGCCTCCGGTGCACACAGCTGGGGCTATGCCGGGGCTACTTCCAGTTTCTGGTTGTGTCGACACTCCAGGATTTCTAGTGGCTCTCATCCGCCCCCAGTTTCACTATTTTTTTGGTTACTCTGTAGTGGTTTAATATCAACACGTCTGGTGCGAGGGCAAAACTCATCTCTGTAGCACCAAGAAAGAAACCAGCCTAAGTACCTCTCTCAGAGCTGGGTCTGCGAGGGTCTCGGAGGCCAGGGCAGGGCCAGAGGCTAGGAGGGCACGCCGGGGGCGGAGGCGGGAAGCACCCACCCTGGAATTTCCTCCACCCAAATCTAATGGGCCCCTTCTGCCCGTCTTTCTTCCTCTCTCACACTCACACATACACGCGCACAGTCCACTCAGCAAATAAAGAGATGAGAGTTCTTAACAGGAATCTTGTGAATTACGTGATATTCAAATTCAAATGATTTGAAATTCATTGTCCCCTTGAACAATGGAAACAAGGCCTGAGCTGGGGAGGAGCAGAAGGAAACAAGAGTCCTCCAGGGCAGTGCTGGCACCTTCGCTTGCCAAGTTTTCCAGGTCCTGGCAGTCTCGGGTCCCGGGAGGAGCTGCCCGTGCAGGAGGCGCCTCCCTAGATAGTGAGGTGTAGTGAAAGTCCCCTAGGGCCTACTCTGTCTGAAATATCAACCTGCTTTGGAAGACTGGAGATTCCTGGAGGTTATCTAGATCCTGTTTTAAAATGCAAATATTAAAGGAGTCTCAGATGTCAGTTACACCTCAGTAGGATTTACTCTAAGTCAGCTGGTCTATCCCGTCCATCAAGTTGGGGTTTCTAAGGACATTAATATCTAAGTAGAAACCGGAAACTGGAAGGAAATAAAAGGTTTTTGGAGTTGGATCCAAAGCTGGGGAAACGCGTGAAAAGCTGCGGAGGCTTTCCATAAAAGGCCAGGAGCAGAAGGGGGACAACGATCCCGCATCTAAGACGATGTGGCTATTGTGGCTCTGAATTACCGGCTGCCAAGGTTTAAGAAAGAAACTCTAACAAAAACTCAAGCAACTTTGTCCCTGCCTGTGCTCCCCCAGCCCGCTGCCATCCCGAGCAGCGTGTTGGATGGGTCTCGGTGGACCCAGAAAGTACCCAGGAAAGGAGAGACTGGGGACACGCCCAGCACTTATTTAGGTCATTTTTTTTTGTCCCCTTGAAGTCACTGACCCCGTTGGCGAGAGGCCCAAGTCCCCCCAGGCAGGCCAAAGCTGCGGGCAGAAGTCCGGGACCCCTGGCTGCGGAATGCGGACCAAGAGCAGAAGGGTGAACAGAGTCGCCTCCTGCAGGGTCCCCCGCACCCGGTGCGCAGCGGGAGTGCGTGTTGTCCCGACCACCCCGAGTCTGTCGAAGGGGACTCTTGGCTGCTCTGGGTAGAGCGTCGCGCGCAGAAGAGAAGCCGTTCTCTTGGACTCTGGGCGGGCGGGGCCTCCTCTCCCTACAGGTTTGCTTTAATGATTTTCTTGAAAGAAAGAGACAGTTGTGAGCAAACAGGTTTGACAGGGACTGCTCCCCCACCCCCGCGCGCCCACCCCCCTACACACACCCTCCAGGGGATTTCTTTTTGTCTGCGCTTGACTTCAAAGTCAGTAATAGGCCCCTGTCATCGGCTTGACGTCCAGGATTTGGACTGTTTGTTGGGGCGAGTCACCGCCGCGCACCTTGGCGGAGGCTCTGCGGCTCCCGGGCACAGGAGGCTGGCCCTTTGGGGACGAGGAGGGGGCTTAACGAGGGTAGACAGCAGGACAAAGCCCGACCGGGAAGGAAGGAGACGAGATGTGCTAGGCAGAACGGCCCGAGCCAGGTCCGCGGCCTTAGATCCCTGGATCTATGCTGGGTCCCCTGCTCTCTCCAGACTGGAGAAAAGTCTCGGTTGCCCAGCCGTGGGCACACGGATGCTTCCTCGCTACAGCGCACCCCAGTTTCCTGCAGCTCCCTTAAGAGTCCCCAGGGCCAGGCACAAGTTAGAACCCCGGTTTCAGTTTTCCAGCATGCGCCGCCTCCCGAAGCCTTGCCCACCAGCACCCACCTGATGCCCCTTCCCAGCCTAAGCCTGCCTCGGGGTCGGCTGGGTGCCTGGTGGGGCCCAGCTCTCCGGACTCCTCCCGGGCTGGGGCACTCTGTGGGTCCAGAGCGCTGGAGCGCCGGGCTCTGTGGGGAGACACCACACCCCTGTAAGCTTCACCTTACAATATGTTACGGGACACTGAGCTATGAGCGAGATCAGAGCTGCTGACAGCACTGTCAGTTGGGGTTACATCAGACAGCAAAACCGCTGCACCTCCGCCCTAGGTCTCCCGGGCTTCCGAGAGGGCGGGAGGAGGGGCTTCCCTAAGCTCCGGGAGCCCCCAGGCCGGCCGGCCACCAGAGGCAAGTCACTTCCTAATTGTCTTGATTTGTAAGAGGGTTTTGTGATGCTAAATAAGCGTGGCGCAGCCCGCTCGGTCTCCCCCTTACAAGTCTCCCGGCCCGCCTTTGTTTACCTTCTCCTGATCGCTCATTTATTTATCTATCTATTATTTATAGGCGTCCCCTCCTATTCAGCGCCCGTGTATGTTAATTTTGTTATACCATTTAATTCTAACATCGGTCTCAAAAGAGCTCTTAATGAGAAAAGCATATACAACACGGATCACTTTGCTATTCAGCTCAGCCAGATGGACAACTGCTAACTTTCTTTTTTTTTAATAATGAAAATCCCCCTTTGACAAAGGGGCTCGGATGAATAGGCTCCAAATAACACCTCAAACGCTTCTAATTGTTTTGAGGACAATATGCTAATCCGTGGGTTTCGGCTTTGGTGTCTGTTGACAACGTTTCCCTTGCACTTCAGCCACTGGCTCCTTTGGAAACAGCAGAGGCAAGCGCACAAATCCCTCAGCAGCAGCAGCAAGCAGACGCAGACGCGCGGCTGGGATGCGCCCCACCCCGCCCCCACTTCCCCGCACCAAATGAAAGCCAGTGGGGAAAAGCACCGGACCTGCAAACAAAACAAAACAAAACAAAACAAAACAAAACAAAACAAAACAAAAACCCTGCGTGAGCCGGACTTTGGGAACGAGAATATGGGAAGACGGGGGCTGGGGGAGCAAACACCCTTTGATTTGGAGAACAAGTTCCAAAGAGTTGTGCTGGAAGGCATCAGAAGGTGCTTTTTCCCACGAAAAAAAAAAAAACAGCGATGTTCGAGCTAACATTCACCCAGTGGGGAAAGGAAAAGGTCCTTTTCCGCGTTGGTTGAACGACAAGGGTTGCAGTTGAGGTTTTTATGATACTGACTGTGTCACTGTTGCCTTCCGGTTTTTCTTTGCTCCCGTAGGGTCTTAGTGAAAAGGCTCCCACTGCATTTCTTAGACTTTTATTTTTTAATTTGGGAACCAGTGTCGCGAGTCCCAAATCCCCAGAAGAGGCAGCAGCAGCGTTTTCAAACACCTTTTTTAAAAAAAGTAGATTCCACCAGTCTTCCCCTAATCATTGAACTTAAACACACATCACAGGACCCGGTGTTCAAGGCGCAACTGGTTCCCAGCAGACTTGCGATTCTCTCCATTCCTTTGGAATTTGGTTTTAAAAAAGAAAATGCACCCCGATCTCACAGGTCTGGATCAGCCTTTGTCTTAGCTGATGCACCCCTTGAAGTGGTCTGACCACCTTGTGAAGAACGTTGGGGATGGAGTGACATCCCAGGGAGGGATGCCCTTGTATAGCTTCTAGAGGCAAAAGGCAGATCCAGAGGATATGGTTGGGGCAAATTATAGACTCTAGTCCCCCGTGCACCTGGCCTGCGAAGACCATCACACTTGCCAACGCAAGCCAGCCGCCAATCGCCGCTGCTAGAGTTGCTCTGGGCACTCTCGGCTTCCCAGCGACCCAACTCCCAGCCCAGAGCGGGCCTCCTGACTTCAGATTTTATGCACATCAAAGGTTACTTTTTGCAATGACAGATTGTCTTTATTCAAAACATCTTTGTTCAACAAATGAACAGAATAAGAAGATAAAATCCATTTCCAAGACATAGTCAAAACATTTATGACCATTTAAGATGTTTTTATTCTTTTAATTTTTGTTCACTTTCTACTTCCTGACTTCATAACCGGACATTCTGTCTAAAAGTAAACTTAGGTCGCTAGGAGCACTGCTTTATACAAAGTAAATAACGATGTGGGTTCTCTTTATCTTTTAAAAAAGCAAACACTATCATAACATGATTTTAAATAGAAATGTTTCCCTTTCTGTAGTTTTAAACTTTTAAACCTTTCCCCCACACACGAAGAGCAAATGGCACCTAGTTGTGTTGTGTCTGATGGCAGAACACGGAGCTGACTCTTTCCTTCGGGGAGCAAAAGAACAAAAATATATGCATATTCTAGATATAATACCAGGATCTGAGAGTTCTGGAGTCCAACGCCCATCAGAGGAGAGAGAAAGGGACATAAATAAAGCAAACTGCCTGCTTTGTTTGTCCAAAGGTACAGTTGGAGATTTGATTTGGGACAGTTGGGGAAGGGCAACTGTATAGCGGTCGTAATGTTCCCAAGTTTCTGGCACCTGTCTGCGCCTTGGGTCCGGTAGGACGCTCCTACCATCCCCTTTAAAGAGAGAGGCAGAGTCTGGGGGTAGGGTAAAGGGCAGCCGGCAGGAATGGCCCAGAGACGTCCGCAGGCCCCAGGTAGGCGCAGAGGACGGGATACAAACCCGAATTCCAGGCCGCCCTCCAGGTCTGGCGGGCCGAGCTGGGGGTTACATGGCCGTGGCGTGGGCTGACGAATAAGGGTCTATGCCAGTCTTGGTCATGCCCGGGAAGAGGATGTAGGCGACAGGGGGCTGCAGGGTGGAGGCAGACCAGGCGGTACAGTTACAGGGCACCACGTAGCCCGGGTTGGTGGGGGACAGGTGCGTGTGCGTGTGCTGACTGGGGCAGCCGAGGCTGCCGAAGGCGCCGTTCTGGTAACCCAGGGTGGACGCGTAGGGCAGCGCGCCGGTGGCCAAGGTGTGGGGCACTTCACCCATCTTCTGGATGGCGCTTGAGCTAAACTGCGCAGGGTCCAGCAGGGAGTAGGGCGCCGAGGCGGGCGGCAAGAAGGCCCGGGCTTTCTCGGGCGCGCTCAGGAGGCCGTCGGAGGCCCCCACGGGCAGGCCGGCCGCCTTGAGCGGGTCCGTGTCGCCCAGGTAGGGCAAGGGGAAGACATACCTGTCCTTCTTGAGCAGGTTCTTGGGCTTGCGCCGCGGCCGGTACTTGTAGTCGGGGTGCTCTTTCATGTGCTGCGCGCGGAGCCGCTTGGCTTCGTCGATGTACGGCCGCTTCTCTGCCTCCGACAGAAGCTTCCACTCGGCGCCTAGGCGTTTGCTGATTTCTGAGTTGTGCATCTTGGGGTTTTCCTGGGCCATCTTGCGCCTCTGGCCTCGGGACCATACCATGAAGGCGTTCATGGGTCGCTTGATGTGGTCTGAAGGTTTGGACATGGTCCCGGAGGCTAGGCGGGTGGGGGTGGGGAGTGCAGGGGTTCTGCAGGCGAGCTGGACGCGGTTGTCTGTCTGTCTGCCTGTCTGTCCGTCCTGAGCCGAGATTCTGCGCTCCCCTCGCCTCCACACTGCTGAGGGGAAGCCAGAGAGAAGCGCTAACCTCGAAAAGTTCAGCTGATCATGCCAGTCTTCGCACCCAGGCGGGCCCCGAGGGGCGAGTGGGGACAGGAAGGGCGGGGGAGGAGAGGGTGGCCGGCCCTGGGGGCTGCGGACACTCGCTGGGGCCCAAATACCGGAGTCTCTGGGATTAAGTGGCCAGGTAATTTGCTGGAGAGGGCAGGAAGCTCCACCTTCTCCCCCTTTCCACTTTTGCTTTCTCTAGTTCTCTTCTCTCCAGTGTCTACGGCCGTGGCTCCCTCCCCCCTCCCGTGGTTTTCCCGGAGCTGCCTCGCCTAGCGCAGCACCTGGCTGAGAATGCGGGGAGGCTGGTGAACTGGAGCCAAAAGCGGCGAAGTTCAAAGGCGAGGTGGGCCGGGACGGCACGCACTCTGACATAAGCGTGGGGCGGTGACTCCCCAACCTGGGCTCCAATCAGCAGCAGAGGAGGAGAGGGGGCGCAGAGGACCACGCGCTTGCTGAGGCTGGAGGGAGCGCGACTGGCGGGGGCGGGGAGAGGTACGAGCCGGAGACTGAGATGCGAAGAGAGCGGCCAGCCCGAGGTTTGGGACTTGGACTCCGTGTTATTTCTGGCACTGTCAACAAATAAAACGCTTTGTGTCTGTTGTCTTTCCCGGTTTGCAAAGGAGAATTAAGGCTTAGAATACAAAGACCCGGCAGGGGGGTTGCAAAGGGAGCGAGCAGAGAACGCATGTTGATAAATAGGGCAGCCTCGTCAGGAAATGTCAGGACAGCACTTTACCCCCTTCCCGGCCCTTGTCAAAGATCTTCGGAGAGAAAAAGAATATATCAAACAGAGGTTAAAAAGAAAAATAAACTTTCGAGCCATACCTTCCGCAGTTCTGGGGTTGCGGTCTGACGGGAGGTCCCTGAGGCACAGCCTCCACCCTGCCCCGGGGCGCAGCGCGCTGGCAAAGCGCTGGGGCCCCGGGCGAGCTCCGGGGTGCCTTTCCTGACGCCGTTGCCTGAAAGCCTGGAGTCCCGCAGTGCAGAGGTTTGAGTCCGGGTTGGTGAGCATTGAAGAGCACTGCGATCTGCTCTTCCCGTTCTTGGAGGGGGCGGGAATGAGACTTTCATCACGATTCCTCTTTATGTCATTAGTCTTCAGTGTTTTTTAAACCTCCAACTTTCCCTCCACATCTCCCAACACAGGAAAGGTAGCCTGGAGGCCAGCAGGTGCATAGCAGGGCGTGGGGCTTTCCAGTTGCCCCCTGTGCAGCGGCCTTAGAGCAGAGACTCGGTCTGCATCCCCACCCACGGCCGGTTTGTCCCTCGGTGCCTCTTCCCACCCAGCGAGAAAGCGAGACTCATTTCTTGCTTCAGATGAGCATTTTCGGGTAAAAAGGACGAAATAACCCTCAGAGCAGACCCGCACGCCTGTTTCCTTTGAATAATTGCCTGCCCGATGTGAAATGCCCTTGGGGAAAATATTTATTAAATGGAAACCATTGTCCCAGGTCCAGCAGGACCTGCGTGTGTTCCAGGCTTATTGGCTTTTGCACCAGCCTCTCTCGGGAAGACCGACTAGAAACGAGCACCGCTCCGCGCGCTTGGAGAGGTTGGGGGTTGGGGAGAACTAGGCAGAGAACAAGAAGGCAAGGAGACAGTGTCTTTCTTTAGCATATAGTGTGTCGAGTTTGAGGTGAGGACTTTGTTTCTCCTTCCTACGATTAGAAAGACGCTAGGCATTTCTCACCCTTAGCGCACTCTTCAGTGAAGTGGACGCTATGCCCATTTTACAGATTAGGAAACTAAGGTTGAGAAAGGCTAAGACATTTGCAAAAAGTGACTCCAAAGAAAAATGGTGACCCGGGGTGTACAGGAATTGAAAACCCTATTTTTTTTCTATTTTACACGGCCCCACTTCGGATTTCCTGGTGTTGCAGCTAAACGTGGAACTCTCAACGAGATTATTGGAGCCATCGAAACCAGCCACGGAGATAAATGGCACTGGGAGGCTAACTGTCGTGCCTGTTCTTGATTCACTTAGGGCTCTGATCGGACCGTGTGCCTCCTTGAGCGGACTCCACCTCGCGCCAGCCGCTCACCTCCACGTGAGCTCGAGAGCAGGGGAGCGGTCTTTGCCTTGCTCTCAGCTCGAGTCCTGGCCTCCATCCTGCCTTCAACCCCTGTTTTCTCCGCAAGTTTCATGTGGCTTGGGTACCAGAAAGTGGAAGCACTTTTCAGCCCGGTCCCGGAGACTCGCAGGCAACCCTTACCCAAGTGGAATTAGCCTGCAGACTCAGCCCAGGAGATTCGAGTTCCCACCGGAGACCGAGACAGTGTTGGGAAGGAAAAGACAGAAACGCTACGATCTGCTGAGGTCTAGCATCTGGCGGGGATGGGCCAGACTCGCACACCGGAACCCTCAGGGGACGCTGAAGCCACACTCAGAAGTTTGGGTCAATGCCAACCGACCTTTTGGAAACTGTTCTAACAGGGGGTCTGGCACGGGGTCGTTGACCCTTCCTCCGTTCCCAGCTTCCGGGCCGACTCATTCAATTGCCCTGAGGCAGCTCGGGCGGGTCCTCCTTCACTTCCTCAATTCTTCCTCCTCCCACTGACGCGCCGGGGCTTCTCTCTAAACATCTCGCACTTCGCCCTAGTTCTCATTTCCAGGCTCCGGAGCAGATTAGTACCCAAGGCTTCAAATGATGGGGTAGTGGCTATTGCGCGGGGCACCACCTAACTTCCCAGGGGTCCCGAGCCCCAGGGTGCTTGGGTCAGGATGCACTGACCCCGACGGGCACCACCATTCCCCTGCCTTTCTTGGCCTTGGGACTTGAACTCAGCGCTGCAGGGGAACGCCGGGCGGGGCGGGCCCTGGCTTCGTGGCGTCTCCTACAGGACCAGCGCAGCCACATACACCCTTACATGGTGCTGGTTGGCTGTGGGTTTATTCAGGACTCCTCAGAATTCCCGTGATCCCGAGGCCTGACCTGGTGCTGTTTTCAGCCCAGGCCTCTACCTGTTTTGCGCTGCCCGTCTCTGTGAGCTCTGTCTCCCCGCCAGGTCTAGGCAACGAGGCAGAAATCCTGGAGAGGAGGCCCCTGGAGAGAAAGCAGCAGCTTTGGTCACCGCTGGAACAAGCCTTAGGACAGAGGTCGTACACACGCGCCTCTTACTTTATCACAGCCGGAAGCTGGGGCTTTTGGCCACCAGACCACCGTCCAGAGCAGAGACAACCCTGAGACTTGGCCTTTTCGCTTCTGCGTTTGCCTAGAGCGCAGGCGGATAGCCTCAGTGCGCATCTTGGCGCGAAGCAGTCACTCAAGACTTGAAACGTGCTCGCTTACGCCTAATATTGGACCCCTGAGCTACAGGGATTCTGACTGCGAATCCACACGGTCCCTGCAGAAGTGAAGGAGAGGTTGCCACCCTATCTATTTCTCACACCACCCACTCTGCCCAGTGTCCCAGTGAGATCCACGATGCGTGTTCTTCTCTTTTGTCTCTAGGCCTTTGTAGGGAAACTTCCCCCTCTCCTTCTGCCCAACTCCTGTTCGTACCTCAGGTCTCTTTAAAGGCTTCACCTCTTCTGTGGAGTCTTCTCTGGTTTCTGGGCTGGACTAAGACACCTTCTATGTTCTCCCTCACACACCCTCTTCTGTTCATGTCCTCTTCCCCGGCCTCGTGTGCAGCCCTGTCGCAGCCCACCCAGGCCATCAGACTTCGAGCGCCTCCAAGGCGGTGGCTGAATGTTATTCATTGAGTGCGCACAACTCTGAGAGCAGGGAAGATGCTTCGTAGTTTCCTTCTGCTCAGGCTTAAACTTTTCCTACGGGGACAGGACCCCAGACGCAGCAGCCTGGTAAAGCCAAGCTCAGAAGTCTTCGGGCTCCCAGGCTTATACCACTTGCCTGGCCTCCACGCTCTGCCCTCCTTCCAGCCACCACACTCTCTTTTCTAGTGGACAGAAGGCTCGGCTCCCAGGCCTCCAGGAGCGAGCGACAGCTGAGCGAACGCGGGCAGAGGAAGGCGTGCAGACCAAGGCTTGGAGAACAGGGATGGGGGTTGGGGTTGGAGGAGAGGGGATCTTCCCACGTGGGTTGCGCTAAATGGTTTTTCAGGAGTGATCCAGAGAGGCGCCTGCGTCTTGAGGGGCCGAGGTGTTGGGTGCCAGTGCTGCTAGCTCACTGCCGCCCCTCCGGGGTTCCGGAGCTCCTGGGGGAAGTTCCAGGTGCCGGTTTTGGGGACTTTATGCGCACAACCCTGGTTTCAGCTCTTCCCTGGGAGTGTGAGCTGGAGGCTCACTGATGTTCAGCTACAGGAGCGTTAATCCCGCCCACTCTCGAACGTTTGCAAGCATCCAAAAGACAACATTGAGTGATAGAATGCCCTTGGGAAATAACGCAATTGGTTAAATTGTAAACTTCTCATTTTCTTATTAGCGAGAATATTTTAATATTTAGCTACCCTACTTTTTTTGTTTTCCCCTGTTTTTTGGTCTATTTTCAAAATCAGAGACTTCATGCATCCCGTCTCTTGAGAGTGTCTGAAAGGATCCAGGGCTCTGGTCCTATTATTTCCTGGCAAATGTTTGAGGGTCTTTTCTCTAGAACACAGCCCATCCCACTAGGAGAGTGTTGAAATTTTGTAAAACTCCACATGGTCCTCGCACAGATCACAGAGGAGGGCATGGTTTCCAGCAAGAAACAGAACAAACTCTGGTCCCAGGACAAACGCCTGGAGAATCTGCAGCATAGTGCGTTTGTCTGCTCAGAGCTAGCAGAGCTCTTGGCTAGGCTAAAGGACACTTCTGTCTCAACACCGGGAGCGCACCCACGTAAGGAGACTTTCGATACTTGAGTAGCTGGAGTCTC